CAGGGTTCTGTGCTGCCTCAGGGTTCTGTGCTGCCCCAGGGTTCTGTGCTGCCTCAGGGTTCTGTGCTGCCTCAGGGTTCTGTGCTGCCTCAGGGTTCTGTGCTGCCTCAGGGTTCTGTACTAGGCCCCATTCTGTTTAACCTGTTTATTAATGATATCGGGGAGGGTGTAAATAGCCATGTTTCTGTGTTTGCTGATGATACTATAATCGGGGGGTAATAGACCCGGACTTAGACACTATAACATTACAGGAGGACCTGGATAAAATAGGGGAGGGGGCAACTATATGACAGATGAGGTTTAATGTCGATAAATGTAGACATGTGCACTGGCATTAAAAAAATGTTCCTTTCGTTTCCGATTTTGCGTTATTTCGTTTTTTGGGATTCGAGTCCGAAAGTCAATTCGTTTCGGAATTCGGATTCGGACGAAATTCGTTAGCGGTAGTCTGTACGAAATTTTGTTTAGTTTTCGTTTCGTTCCTTGCAGCAAAGTGACATTTAAAGGAGAACTATGAGGGGGGGTGCTTTTCACTCCTCCTCATAGTTCTAGCCGACCTGTGACAATAAAACTGTCACAGGTCGGCTCAGTAGATCGGGAAGTGAGCGAACACATACCGGCGCTCGCTCACTTCTCGATCCTGTGCCGGAAGAGAGCCGTGACAGGGGAGTGACTGGATTGCCCATTTCGATCCTCCAGCGCTGACTGGCGGAACGGACGGGGGAGGGGGCGGGACAGCTGGCTCTGCCTCTAGATAGGCAGAGCCAGCTGTCACTCACGCAGCTGGGTGGATCCAGACATAATTGTCGGGATCCGTTCCGGCTGCGGCGTCTCAGTATACCGCGAGCTGTAGCCTGCAATATACTGAGCTTTGGGTGACGGGAGGACGCTAGTTTGTGTCCTCCCATTACCCTTAGGAGAACTATGGGGAAAAGCACTGACCCCATAGTTCTCCTTTAAGAGGGAAAATAAAAATTTTTCCCCCTCAAATGTCACTTTGCTGCAACGAAATTTCGTCCAACAAACAAGATTTCGTACAGACTACCGCTAACGAATTTCGGTATCGGAAATTCGGAATCGTTTGCATTCAGTATACCGTATTTTTCGCTCCATAAGACACACTTTTTTCCCCCCAAAAGGAGGGGGAAAATGTGCCAGCGTCTTATGGAGCGAATCCCGACGCCCGAGACATGCAGTTTCGGGCGCCGGGCGAGTAGTAGGAGCCACTGCTCGTTTAATACGAGTGATCTAATGAGATCACTCGTATTAAAGCCGAGCAGCGGCGACGATGGAGATCACTATAGAGCAGACGAAGAACGGACTTTCTTCGTCTGCTCTGTGTGATCACTGAGACCGTGACACTGTAATCACAGCGCCACCTGTCTCAGCGGTCACTAACTGCAGCTTCTGTCACAGCTTCTGTCATAGAAGCTGTGTCAGAAGCTACAGTCTGTCGAGTGCTCCATAAGGCGCGCCGGACCTCCCTGCGTCCTATGGTCCGGTGCGTCTTATGGACCGCAAAATACGGTATCTGTAATTCGGTATCAGAATTTCCGAAATTTTGTCTGAATTTCGATTCGGAGCGAAACGAATTGCACATGTCTAAGGTAAAGTAATGCATTTTGGGGTTAAAAACAAGCAAGAGGAATACATATTAATGGGAACTCCACTAGGGAAGTCAGAAATGGAAAAAGATTTGGGGGTCATAGGTGACCACAGTTTGAACAATAGCTTGCAGTGGCAGGCTGCGGCAAATAAAGCGGGCACAGTCCAGTATTGTATTAAGAAGGGAATGTACTGTAGAGATAAAGCAATAATTTTGGTACTTTATAGATCTCTGGTTCGGCCTCATCTGGCGGTCCAATTTTGGTCACCAATCCACAGAATGGATGTCCTTGAGCTGGTAAGAGTCCAGAGAAGGGCAACTAAACTCATTAAGGGGATGGAGGACCTAAGCTATGAGACAAGGTTACTATATTTAAACATGTTCACGCTGGAAGTGTGGAGATTAAGGGGGGACATGATTTTGATGTACAAGATGTTCAATGGTGATGGCAACATCAGCAATAAACTTTTTACAGTAAACTCCATAACAAGGACTAGAGGCCACCACCTGAAACTGGTGGAGAAAAGATTTAACCACAAGGGGCGTAGGGGGTTCTTCTCAGTTAGAGCAGTTAGGGTCTGGAACTCGCTGCCACAAGCAGTGGTATCAGCTGAGAGTGTTGAATCATTCAAAAAGCATTTAGATACCTTCCTCAGAGACCGTATCATACAGGGGTACAGGTACTCTTAAAAATAAGATCACACGGGGACTCATATACATGCACAATCACACACAGACACGCAATAGGTTGAACTTGATGGACCTGTGTCTTTATTCAACCTCAAATACTATGTAACTATAATCTAATACAAATTGACTGCCCAAATGCAAGGAAGATGCTGCACACCACTGACGTCAGTGTAAAATTTGATTGCCTTCTGACAGCCAACATGCTCCTGACCCCGCCTGTCGACCTCTCACCTCTGACGTAAGTAGAATATGCATAAGCCCATTCGGTGGGAGGGAACAGGAGCATGTTGACGGAAGGCAATCAAATCTTACAGTGACGTCACTGGTGAGCGGCATCTTCTTTGCTTTTGAATGCTCTCTTCAGAGTGTGGACGCCCCCCCAGGCCTCGGCCAGCACCAATGTTTATTCCAGACTGGAAAACTGAGTGTGGGTTGGAGCGCTGGATCATCTTCGGGACTAACAGATTGACTGCCGATATCCATTCCCCTACTGTCGATGGAAACGTCTGTGCGATCAATTTTCCAGCGAGGAATGATGTTCTACTAAGCCCCAATCTCAGATCAGTATGATATTAGGAAACCTCTAGATGTCTCAAAATGCACAGATCTCAATGACATAGAACATTTGTTTTAAGAATTTTATTAATGGTGAATAATATCTTTCCCATAACTTACCAACGTGGGACATCTCCAGAGAAGGTGGATGACATCTCCCGCTACCTGTCCACATCTAGTACTCTTAGGACTATTAGGAAGGCCTGCTCTCTATAGTGTCTGAGGGGGATCTCCTATGGATAAGCCTTACTCAACCTTCTCAACACAGAGGAGCCCCTGAAATAATATTCAGGTCCCTAATATAATTATATCTGCAACTCACAGAACAGCGATCAGCAAGCTGTAGGTATTAACATAGACAAAGAAATAATTTGGTGTTCCGAGCTTATTTGACAACCGAGGCAAATCATTTCTAACACCCCCATGCTCTATATAATTATACATTTAAAAATGAAACAATAATAAAGGCAAGAAAGGAAAAGCAAACAGTTCACATTACTGGTCAGTGAAGAAGGCTCCCCTATACGTTAGTGGTCAGTAGAAAAGTTGGTGGTCGGTGGAGAAGTGTGCCCATCAAAGTGGTGGTAAGTGGAAATGTGACCCAATATAATGATGGTCGGCGGAGAAGGCCCTCCCTTACGTCAGTGGTCTTTAGAAAAGTGTCTTTTATATTGATGGTCAGTGGAGAAGCGTCCTGATCACATTGGTGGTAAGTGAAAAATTTACCTCATACTTTGGTGGTCAGTGGATAAGGCCTTGCCTTACATTGGTGATCAATAGAAAAGTGCCCCCTATATTGATGGACAGTGGAGAAGTGTCCCCATCACAGAAGTGGTATGTGGAAACGTGACCCAGTACATTGTTGGTCAGTGGAGAAGCCCCCCCCCCCCCC